CTCTGCTTTTTTTCCCTATCTCACTTCTCTGTCACCCACCCGAGGCCTTCCATCACCACACACTCTTCCCGCCTTATCTTGCCTCATAAGCTCACCCCCCTCTCCTCCTCCTCCTCCTCGTCCCAGTTTCTTCACTATTTCTCAATTTTTTCCTCTATAATACTATCTGTCGACCCTTTAACACTTACCATCAAAAAATTCTCCCTTTTCTGTCATCTGTCTGTCTGCGGCAACTGGGGAAGGGGGATGCGGGTGCTCAGATATGCAGATCTACTGTTTGTGGAAGGCTTTGTTTGCACAGGCAGACACTGGGTAAATGTCATCAAGGAATGATGTGTAGCATTGCAGAATGGCAAAAGGGAAAGGCGAGAAGAGAAGGCAAGTGTCAAAACAAGTAAAAGTTTTAAGCTTTATGCATGAGCATATTTGAACAGGCGAGGATGATGACATGAGTGTATGTTCTCATGAGACATTGAAAAGGAAGGATAGACGACAAAACAGGTAGGTGTGTGTGTACGTACAAGAGGGAAAGTAGAAATGAGATGGACTGAAGAGAAGAGACAATGAACGAGGGAATGGGAGAAGGGAAGAGATAGGCCTGATGAGTCATGTGTACACACTCGAGCACTCCGGTGAATGTGCTGAACTCAGGCTAATGGCCGACATAAAAATCCTGGGAAGAGGCAGAATCGATGCAATCCGCAATAGCCCAGGATGAGACTGGATTTAGGGAGAGGACACAATGATCTTCCTCTTAACGGCTGATTACATCTGTTGAAACAGCACACTGATATTTACATAGAAACCCTGCTGAGGCCTGGGAGTTGGCCCGGTATGCTGGCCAACCCTTCAGGATATCTGTTAGTTTGTGTGTGTGTGTGTGTGTGTGTCCTCTATCAGATCTGGATGTACCCTACTCTTTTTGTCATTTATTTCTTCATATTTCTGTACTCATGGGTATAATGGGTAATAACACTCTGTTCTTCTACATTTCAGCTACACAGTATAAAAACGTTAAAAATAAATAAATAATACTCCTTTCCACCATTTTCATTCGTTACCCAAGTATGTATGTGTCTATAACTGTAAAAAATAAATGTGATAGACACAGCTGTGTCTCAATTCAAGAGCAGCATCTTCCAGGGACTGCATTTGAGGACAGATTGCAACACAGTGGCTTGACTAAGCCTTCCCATTTCCAAGACTCAATCCTCAAATGTGTCCTTCCGTCCCTGAGCAATGACAACTCCGGCATCTTTGAAAACGGAAAAAGATCCCTCTCAAGCTAACCCAGGATTCATAGCGCTTTGGTGACGAACCTTTTCTCAAAGAGGTAATGGTGCTATTATGTGTAACAAGTGAAAGCAGTAATGGCGGCATAAGCTGGTGACACAGATCACAGAAATCCTTTGTAAACCAGACCTGCCTCCGTTTGTAGGACGCAGTCTCAGAGGTCCACGATTGGTGCTTGCACAAGAGATCACACCAGTAGAAGACAGGTTTACACCATGATGTTCTTCTCATTCCCTCAAAGCAATATTTAAAAGTGATCATTGAACGTAGACACGGAACAGTTTTTATTCAACAACTACTTTCCAGTCCTTCAACATTTCCTGTAGCTCCTTCACAATAAAGGCATACAAGTAGCTTGCAGAAAATGTTACACTCTTGTGAATAAAGGTTTGATACAGCTTCAGTCGTAGAAGTGAGTGCTTAAAGTCTAATCCAATATAAAAGCTGGTTCTGTTTTCTCCAAAGAAACAGAACCAGTGTGTGTGTAGGTGTGTTGAAGTGAACAAACCAGATCAGGAAAACAACTTTGGTGCTTTTTTCACAGTTGATTTATAATGATTGGCTACCAAATTCAACAGACTGCTTTTCCGTCCACCAATACTCAAAGACGACTTGTCAAGGGTATAAAACATTTCGAGGGAAATGAATTTCTTCCATGGATCTACTTTCACATCAACTGTGAGTGTTGTTGCTTAGAAGCCGTGGTCTCCCATCTGCAGCATTTCTGTATGGATGCAAAGTAATTTTCACCAGAGGAACTCATCACGCCCCAAAAGCACTCACCACATAATTGCTGCACACATACACTAAACTGACAGTTGCTCCGTGCACACCCTCACACCCCATTCTCTCCTCGCTCTTTGCTACCATCCTGCCTCCCCTCTTCTCCCTCTCCCCGGTCTCCTGAACTTCCCCCAGCATCCTGCTCCTCATTAGAAGGCCTTTCATGGTCAGGGCCAATAAAACTTCAATGGGAGGCAGCCTGAAGAAAACATGGCTGTTCTGTGGCTTTACTGAGCGTTAATTACATGATCTCCATACCAGACAGTGGAGGGCCCAATCAGTTTCTCCAACGCCGACCTATGGCCACATATGGGACACAGTCAGACACATAAACTCACAGCACACACACAAACTGTCTCTCGCACACATGCACGCATAAAGGTCATGCATACACAAAGCCATATACAGGCAGACATATCATCACAGACACACACTTGGAGGCCACCAGACTTATTAACCTCCGGCCACATGTTCTTAACTTTGCCCGGTATTCCCCTTTGGCAACAAGAGCAGTGAAGCAATGGTATTACACATAATTAGAAAGAGATTTACATCTGCTGTGTGGCACAGTTACACAACTTTAGCCGCGCAACCGCAGTGCTGCAGAGCCACAAGTGACCAAGCAAACACTCACATGCTGCAAATGCTGCTTCATCTCGTCATAGAACTGTACTCATGGGTGGAATGCTAATACAGTGTAAAAGTGCCATTTTCATTAAGATTCACTTTTTGTATAAAGACGTGGGATCCGAAGGATGCCAGGAGAATTGGGTTCACATTTTCACAACAGCACAGAAATCACCGGAGCGTTCAGGATAGGGGATGTGCAGCTGGCAGAGGCGGGATGTAATGTATAAATTACACTGCGGAGATCAAGTGTTTTCAGCAACACCAAAAGTTCTCTTGACATCTAAGCCTGTGTTGCTTTTTCATCCACAGATATTTGTTTTCCTTTTTCGTCATTTTTGTGATTGTCGCGAGTTAGAAACGTCAACACCCCTACTCACTCATGGTGAGTCCTGCAGAGGATCTCCTACTCTTGAGAAAGTTAGAAAGATCTCTGGAGTTCGGTGCCAATCTCAAAGCAGCTCCAGTGTTCATAGAAAATACACATTATAGACAGACACAATGAATACAGGCAGAGCGCTCTGATGTCAAACGCCTGCACAAGTGATGACTACAGTCTTATCAGGGCCGATTGTACATGACAACTTTGCATCTGCTGCGTGGCACGGTTACACAACTTTAGAGTAACCACAGGGCCGTAGACCCACATTTGACCAAGCGAACACGCACAAGCTGCAAATGAGTGAGACACTTGACATTACACAACTAACGTGTAATTCATGCCTGTGGAGCTGCAATAATGTGGAGGCGAGTGTAGCGGTTTGTCAGTTAGTGATATGTGAGATGTCGGCTTTTGTTTGGACTCATCCACTAGTGAGGAACAGACTAATTATAGAGTAACGTTTCCTAATGTATTCATAAAAAAAATCTCTGCCTTCATAAATAGAGTGATTTTGAGGCCCAGAAATGACTGCAACAGCCGCCTCTCTCCGTCTTTTTTTGTCTCTCTGTTTTTCTCTTTTTGCATCTTCACATTCGTTTGTCTACCCCGTTATGATGGTCGGTTATTTCAGGAAATTTTCCACATGTCACTGTGATAATGTGCAGTGGCATTTTTCAAAAGAGAGCCTCATCAAACCCGTTCTGATTCAATTCCATACACCGAGATGAGTCAAGAGACTTTATTTTAAGCAAGAGAACTGTCTCTTTGTTGCTACAACACAGGTCTACCAGATTTCAAGGTTTCGCAACACAGAACACTCCTTCTGACTTCTGACTGTGCTTGTTCAAAAGGATGCCATATAACGAGAAGCCATGTAAACCTTGCACTCACACAGCCAATTCAACACTCAGACTGTAATCAGCTCACTTATTACAGCACAAGACCTTTAACCTCAAATGCTGCTTCATAGGGAGGGGCCCTGGGTTCAACCCAACCAGAACTGAGTGAACTTTTTTTTCCCTCTCATGTATTAGAGCATTAGTCATGGATATATTATGGATATGCTGCTGCCACGAGACAAGAGGCATTTGCTATCTGCGAGCTGGGAACCGGAAATCATTGATCCCAATAAAAACAATGAATAAACTGGGACAAAAACTTCCAAATAGCAAACAAACAATTTCCTTCAGAGATTAATAGAGGAAGCAGCCTCATGTAGAAAAAAAACTAAACTGGAGCATTTAAAAAAACAGAGAGTGGGCTTTTGTATGATTGAGACAGCACATGCTTATAGAATGTGAGCATATTACTCATCACTTGTTTTCTTTATCCAGTCAAGTCTGAAGTTAAATCAGGAACATTTCGTGCTTGTGTTATTCACAGACACGTACACAGAAAGTCACATAATGAAGGCATTCAGCAGCAGGTGACAGGTAAACCGGGAAAAGGTGCAGGGCAGGTGGTGACTTGTTGGCCTTGTAATTGCAGCTTGAGGAGCGATGTGATGCGCGCGCGCGTGTGTGTGTGTGTGTGCAGATTGGAGGAGAGGTGACACAGTGACTTGTGCTTCTGGATGGGTGGGTGGGTACGGGGTCGAGGGCGCATTCCTTCAGCGAGAAACCAGCTGAGCGCACGATCCGGAGAACTACTGGCTGCAGATGTTTCCTAAAACTGCACACAAAAAAAATCAAACCTGCTAAGAAGCTGATGTGTCCTGAAACATGACTGCAAATGAAGGGGGGGGATAAAAACGGAAACGACAGGAGGAGCGTGAAACCTCGTGCGTCCCTCTCCCTCTCTCCCTCTCTCCCTCTCTCTCTCTCTCTCTCTCTCTCTCTCTCTCTCTCTCTCTCCCTCCTTCCTCTCTCTCCCCCCTCCGCCTCCTCCTCCACCTCACTTCAGAGAGTGGCAGCGTTGGCATCGTTTAGAAAAACCCTGCGCTGGGAAATGAGCTGCGGTGGCTGCCGGTGCGCACTTATCCACTCGGATCCCTCTGCGCCGTCACACAGCCGGTAGGCGTGCGGCTATAGAACCAGGCTGCACCGCGTCAGCGCAACACTGCTATTTTCATGACATGACTTCAGTTATTCCTGCTGTAAGTGCGCATAACCTGAATCTTTCTCCCCTCTTTAGGTGAACCCACGAGCAAGGCGTGTAACAGTGGATATATGAGAGATCTGCGCGTAATCCGGAGAAGACAGTTATCTTGGAGGAGGGGTGACTAATAAGAAAAGAAGGTCCTGTCCTGTGCACTTATTAGGACCGGGGAAGAGACGGGACCTCTGCGCGGTGAGGAGTCCTCGCTCCGGTCGGTGCCGTGCAGCAGTGCGCAGCAGAAGAGCAGCCACAGACTCGGCAGACGCGCTGAAAGGACAGAGAGGAGGAAGGTGGCGGATATTTTACGCACACACGTCTGACACTGCGAGTCTCTTGCTCCTACTTTAGGACCTCAACACGGTCGGATTTGCGCTTGACTGGGTCCCCACGTTGGAGGATGGATTCATTCATCATAGCGGCTCTGGCACTGTGCTCGCTGACGGCACCAGCCCACGGAGACAAAGGCACCAGCAAAGCCCGGAGTTGTTCGGATATCAGGCAGTTTTACAGCGGGAAGGGTTTCTATCTTGAGGGTGTCCCTCAGTCTGAAATATCAGGTAAGCTCCTCCATAACACCCGCAATTACTTCCAGAACCACAGGCCTGGTCAGATGCAATGTATGGATTGTGTAAATTGCGCAATGATGTGTTAAGTGCACAGTAAAGAAGCTCACAGTTGCTTTAAACTCATTGCCACTGAGGAGCATAATCCCTGTGCAAGTCCCACCAGGAATGTTGGTCTATTTTGGGGTCAAAGTCGCACCTGCACTGGTGGCCTACCATTTATAATAGCTGGTGTGGATCAGATGTATGAGTTGCTTGAATGTATTTGGTCCATAACCCCCCCCTGCTCAGTGAGGTGTTTAGGATGTTACAACTTAAAATACATGAGCCACAAGCATAAAATGAGGTTTTAAAGTTGTGAGCTGATGGGGCGTTACACTTTATAGCTCTTATACCTGTAGACACACTCATGTCACATGTTGAAGAAGGGGGAAGCTCTCAAGATGAAACGCTGCTTTGAAAATATATGACAGACAATGTGGCTGTTTCATCCCTGATAAAAAAAAAAAGTACCTTAACATTTTATTTTTTACCTATTTGGAAACAGATGCAGACTCAGCACTTTGCTTTCAGTTTTCGTCTCACAGTTTTCTCCCTTATCAGTTTGAAATAAGTTGCTATTAACCTCTTAAGACACTCCCAGATCGTTCCTTCCTCTCCAAGCTCTCTTAACATGCCTTTCATGCGCAGGACATTCTTCCTTATCGCTCACCAGCCAATCACTTGACCATGTGCTGTACAAATACATGATGTGGCTCACTGTGTCATTCATGGCCTGATGTCAGACGGTCACAAGCCCCTCGACAGTTCCTAGAAGATTACATGTGTGCCTCCCCTGGAATTTGCTGCAGCGCTTTTCACACACATGAACAAACAGACACACACATACACTTAGGGTTTACTGCAATTTCAGGTTCTACAGTTACGGTAGTGTACATGCATGGACAAGACGGGAGACTGTGCCCATAATGCTCCTAATTCAAAGAAGCTGTAACTTGAAACTGAACTTTTGTTAAATTTCACTGGACCCAAATTGTGAATGCAACTCATATTTGAGGTCATCTACAGAGCAACAAGAAATGAGAGTGGAATGTGCACAATATTAATCTGAATGGTTCTTATATGGCTGCATTCATCCACAATCTGATAACATACTTCCTCAAAACCTCGACCAGACTCTGCATGAGCCACATCCGCTGTATCACACGATTCATTTTTCACAGAGCGCTGCACTATACCGTGACAGTAGATAAACTCTTCCTCCCCGCGAAGACGGAAATGTTTATTGGTTAGCCCAAGCTGAACAGGACTGAGATGTACAAGGGTGAATCTACGCGGTATTTGCTGAAAAGGTCACACACTCATGATGATCTTAAAGTAGAAACTGCTCTATTTTTGCACAGCACAGATCGCAGAAAGTGTCTTGACGGAAATAGTGTGCAGTGACTTTTGCTTCTAACTTTTAAGCTGTTTTCAGACATGACCTGCGGGTGAAGTCTGGAGAATTGGCTACAGATTCTGCGAAGTGTTTGCCTTTCACACATGCAAAGTGCAGCGGGAGATTCTCTGCACAGATGCGTTCACAACAACAAAAAATCCTTCATATGACACCATTTTTTTTCCTTTCGTTTATGGTGAATCCAGCAGCGATCCCCTAATGTGTTCTCACATCAGATTCCAGACTTTACACTAGGAGTCCAGGTGGAGAAAGTCTGCATAATCTGTAGCCTCTCTCTCTCTCTCACTCGGATATTTGCGTTCACATGTGCATGTCCTCTGGAGAAAATACGGAGGATCTGTGGAGTTCAGTGCATGTCTGAATGCAGCTTTAGATGTTTTACTGTTGATTGTCCTCTAATATTCTTGAGCTGGATGCATGGAGCATTAAGAGCGCACACATACAGAAGATCCTTCCTTTCGATTACACTGATAGGATGGGAGAGATTTAAGGGAGGGGCGCTAATGTGATGAAACTGTTTGCCCATGTCATCACCACCATACATCATCAGGTAGTGAAGGCCAAGTAGGAACGGGACACTTCTAATTTCACTGATTGACCATACTGAATAAATCATTTGACAGAATTAACGCCAGCCCCGGCCCCTTAGAAAACCCCCCTTTTCTTCCAAATGTCTGCAATCCATAACGCTTTAAAGAGCAAATCTGTCTTGTCGTGACACTACCGATTCCTCTTGTTGCAATCAATGGCGTGGAGCTTACTTAAGGCGTTATGTATTGACACAAGTCTGAAATGTATTCTCCGTAAAAGGGAAAATAATGGAGTGGAAACTGAAGGTCAGGAGGAGCTAGATAAAGGAATGGCAGAAATGAGAGATGAGAAAGAGGTAGACATAAAGGGAGATGAAGAGAGGGAGACTTGTGTTTGTACATCAACAAAATTTCTCTGGCGTCCCTGTCTCTTGGCTGTCAAGCAAAAATAATAGTCTGGCATATTAAACACCTTAGTAATATATGAACACTTTAATTTATGCCTCCAAATTATGGAGCCACCTGAAAGTCGTGGATGATCCCTGACATTTGTAGAGGAATGTTTCCTGCCATGACACCGGAGCTTGATCAACCTAATGTATTGGCTGGGCCCAACTCAAGGTCACATGCTAAGTACATCACCCAAGTTCAGTCTGAAAATTATTTCTGCTCTTCGATCATTTCTCATTGCCACTGCTCAAGGAAAAACTTCTGGGCACACTTCAATTTCAGATGCACCAATTGTGTTTAGTCAAACACAGAAGCAAATCAAATACAATTTGAACAAAGTCTGCAGGCAATATAACCAGAAAAGGGTAAAAGGAAAAGCATGTTCCTATAAACCAGTGCCATTTCATTATTTTTTATTAACTTTAGAGATTATTTGGTTTAAATATATTATTTTACTTTCATACCACCATTCCTTAGATTTGAAACAGGTGCCTTTCTTGTCATCTGAAGCAGAAAAAGTCAGAAGTCTCCAACAACCCTGTCCCATATTAGAGTGTGTGTCTGATTATGCTCAGTCAGCAGTGAAAGAAGATTCCTAGATATTGCTTTCACATAGATACGCCTCATATAGCAACGCGGATAGTCCCCTATTCTTAAATAATTTGCCTCGGGGTGGAGGCAGAAGAAAGAAACTACTGAGTTAAGGCTGCTGGTTGTTATCATTGTGTTTAAGCAGAGTTCACTGGACCATAAGAACAGTATCAAATAGCAAATAATCCACAAATAAACTAAAATAAGTGTGATGATTATAATTTAACACTCTTCAGTATAATCAGTTATTTTTGTTGGTGTTTTCCAAAAATGGATGATTGAATTTTACAAGGCTCATCTGTCTCCTCCCTGCTCTGCCCCCTCCCTGTCCCACCCCATCATTACAGTCCCGATGACTTATCTTTTAGTATTGCAGGGGATGACATTCTTCATCTCTCCTTTTTTTTCCTCTCTTTCTCTCTCTCTCATCGGCTCTGAAACAGAGAGGCGCCAGACGCTCTTTGAAAGCAGCTGGCAGCCAACGAGCGCTGGATGCTGAATGTCATATAAGCCCGTACAAAGAGACGAGCTGCATGAGACATCTGCAGGAAGGCTGGTAGCATTTTGGTATGGCACTGGCTTTCCCATGCTGTATTTGTGTTGTTGTTGATTGCCGGTTGCTACAGGCTTCGCTCGCTGCTCTGAAGTGTCATCTCTAACCAGTGTTTGGGTAATGATACAGTGGGGTTGCAGCTTACCAGGCCTGCTAGGAACTGTTGTTGACTAAAGACCGGCTTGTGGCTGGAAAAAACGGGCTGATCAGCATGTCAGCCCACAGCGAAAAGTATGGGAATATTTTGAACTCAGTCACTTGGCCGATCATTTAACTATAGGTCTTGAAATGTGTAGCTAAACCACATCATGGGATTTCACGCAGTTAGCTGAGGATCTCCCCCTGTAAGCCTCACCTCTTAAAACTGGGGGTAATGATAAGATAATGGCTGCTACTGTGCTTGCTGCCCCCTGCACCACTTTCCAGCCGAGGTTAAATGGAGATGGGAGTCGGCTGCCAGCAGAAAACAGAGCTGGTTACCCAGGCGGAGACTGTGGAGTCAACATCAAAACGGAATATGAAAAGAGGTCATTTAATACATCAATTTAAAAGGACACTTCTTCTTTCACCCTCATTAGTATATACAGTAAGACCGCAACTTTAGGAATCTGCATGGTCTGCAAACCAAAAGGCACATATACTTTTTTAAGAGTTTTATACTAAATAAATTCCCATATAAAGCTGCTTGACATGTGATGCTGTCCTTCTCCTGTCCCTTCAGCTCATGCCAGAATATATAAATATATATTATTAATTACCAGGAAACACCCCATTGTTTTATTATCAGCATGGAGACTTTACCTTGTGACATTTAAGTAACATAATTGGCCGATGGATTCTTGGAAAATGGTTTATCATAGTGTAAGTGATGGCAAAGCTATGTTAATCCCCTTGGATGAATACTTTGATGTCTGACTCATTTATTTCTTGTCATGTCTGTGCAACAGCGGAGCCAGCCTTAGCCAACGTGATACAATCGCTGGTTTTCAAACTCTGTTAAGCTAAACATTTTTTTATCGTGTCATATAAATCAAAAGCATTAAGAAATGGACTCCTCAGGATTAAAACATGAAACTTGTTGACTGACTGAGTCATGAGTTTGGCTGTGGTTTGTTCAAAATTAATTGGCACTTACATTTTCAGTTACATCATCAGAGAGGAGATTATAGACACTGATGTCCACTAAACGCATTAATCACCAGACTCCTTTAACTACTTTGTCTCAAAAAAGTACCCAGTGACAAATGAAAAACCTGACCGTGTCACCAGTGTTGCCCCTCGAGCACGAGGTCGGACTTTCCCTCTGCTGGCACACCTCTATGTGTCTCAATCACAGCAGCTGGTATAAGCTTTCTTTATAACTTTCTCTGTAAGTGATTCTATTTATATTCTTTAAATATCACTAAAATCA